ATACCTCACTCAGAATGAAAGAAGGGGGAGTTAGTATGACATTGAAAGGATAGGAGCTCCACAAGGACAAAATATATCTGGGCACAGGGTCTTTTCTGAGACTGGTTCTCCCACCAAGGACCATGTATGGATATAACCTAGAACCCCTGCTCGGATGTAGCCTGTGGTAGCTCAGTAACCAATTGGTTTCCCATGGTAAGGGGAACAGGGACTATTTCTGACAGGAACTCAATGACTGGCTCTTTGGCCTCCCCACCCCCCAAGGGAGGAGCAGTCCTGTTAGGCCACAGAGAAGGACTTTGCAGCCAGTCCTGAAGATACCTGATAAAGCAGGGTCAGATGAAAGGGGAGGAGGTCCCCCCTATCAGTGGACTTGGAAAGGGGCATGGAGGAGATGAGGGAGGAAGGGTGGGGTTGGGAGGGAAGGAGAAAGTGGGATATAGCTGGGATACAGAGTTAATAAAATGTAACTAATAAAAAAATAATAATAATAATTTAAGAGGAGGGAAAAAAAGTACCTTTTGGGGTCATTTAAAAAAAAACAGACTAGAAACAGGGAAAGAAAGAGCCTGTTGTTCCAATGACCGCAGCACGTGCTAATGAGGGGGTTGGAATTAGCCAGTGGGAGCAGGAGGCAGGACGAGGTGGTGGGACAGCCGCCCTGCTAGCGGATGTGAAGACGAGCTGTCAAAGCAAGATACAAAAATATACAACATCGAGTTTTAGCAAAGTTTGAAAATCAGTTCAATTTCCAAACATAAAGCTTATGATTTTTTTTTTCCTAAGGAGAAAGTTGGTTTTCCTTCCTCTCTGTTTCTTGCATGCGTGTATATTATAGGTTTGGGTTTAGATATTATATTCACTGCTAAGTCTTCCAGTAATTACCTATTTGAAAGTGTTTGTACCATTTTGTATAGTGGATATTGAATGACCAAGTGACATTTGGTAGACAGCTATTCAAGACATAGCCTGTTTAAATGAAATCTCTTTTTCTAAAATTATCCTACACTTGTTTGTTCAGCTCTCAACTTCCTCCTCTATCCCTGGCCAATGAGCCTCTATTCAGAGTTTATTTTACTTCCTGCTACTTTCGCTTGCTTTAGATGGCTTGCATCAATGTTCTGTGAGACACAAAGGAATTGTTCTTCTGAAAAGCATCAAAGAGTGAATACTGAACCATTCTATTAAAATATCTGCCTGAGCTGCCTGAAGCTGGGGTTATAAATATTTATCCCCCTTTTTATATCTGATCCAAGTCTTGGTGGTCTACGCTCAAAGCACACCCAAGTCCCAGCCATCTCGCTTACCTAAGGGCCTGAGTGCCATCCCAGAAAGCTCATTGCCAGCTTGTACCACAGAACAATGCACACTTTTCTGTCTTCTATGAAAATAGGCCTCTCCCTGATGCTCTAGGTTTCTTCCATATACCAGCCCCGGTCAAAACCAACTTCACACCCCTTCTGCTCACAGAGTTCAAAGTCCTGCTCAACGGTCACCCAGCTGACTCAAAATGCCTCTGCAGGCCTTTCCTCGGCTCTAAGCTGGTGGGATACATTCTGATCATCTGTGCCAATTAGGCGCCAAGCCGGCTCTCTGACTGCTTCTCTCCTCAGCCATCCTTCTCTACTTCTTCCATAGGAGACCATCCATCTATGATGGCCACTGCGTCTATCTCTTTGATGAGGGAGTTTCACCCCACAAAGAGTTCCAAGAAGAGAGTTCACAACTTAAAGTCAATCAACATAAACAGACCAGGTTATCAGGCAGTGCCTTTAAATTTAAACTTGGAAGAAGAAAATATCTAGTGAAAGCTTTAGTGCCATTAATAGCTCTTAAAACACTTAGTATCTTAGGACGCTGAGACACATGATATGAGAAGTTGCTTCCTTTTATACTCTTTGAAAAACTGAAGAAATTTGAATAATGAGATCTACGAACTATCTTTCTAAATGCAATGTACAGAACCCCTGTCTATTTTTAAGCCTTTTAAATAAGCCTGGAGGAGGGAACACTATCATTTCCTTAAGAGTCAGGTCATGTTGGGGCTGGTGGGACGGATCGGCGAACACAGTGCTTGCCATTCAAGCTCAAGGATCTGGAGTCAGAATCCTAGCACCCACATAAAATGTTGGGCACAGTGACAGGCAAGTGCACAGAATGCCCACAGTGAGAGACCCTGGAGCTTCCTGGCTGGCTAGCCACCCTCGGGGATCAGTGAATCCTAGGTTCTGTGTGCAATACAGAGGTTGGCTCCTGAAGAATGACAACTGGGTCCACCTTAGCATACACTTCTACATGTTCCACACCTAGACACAGAAAGGCGAAAACGGAAGTCCGCCCACTGTCATTCCTGGGAGGCCTTTTCAGCTTGAAAGAACAGAATCTAAAGCTGTTCTTCGCTCTCCCACGATCCTGTAGCGTACCACATCCCCTAGTGGAATTCAGCCCATTGTCATTTGCTGCTAGAACCAGAAGTCCAAACTCTCCAGTACTGAAAACTAAGATTATCTAAATAAGATAAGCTAAGCACTGAATTAATTATTCTAAACCTTGAGAGTTTTGAGACAGCTTTCCAGAATAATATTATTTTATTCTGTTGAGTTCAACTTCATGAAATGAAAAGTTACTGCCCAACTGTTAACAAACAAAAACAAAATCTTGAAAAAAAAAATTTTCACCCTAGGCTAGCCTATATCATACTGAGTAAAACAATAATTTGATTCATCCTCTGGATAAAAGCCATCCAGATTTTTTTTCTTCCACTTTGCCTATTTAAATAGTAAGCCTAATGTTATTTAACCAAGTGTCTTCTGTGTGTGTGTGTGTGTTTGTATTTTTTTTTTCAGAAACAAGAGAAAATAAAAACAAAATCTGCCTAGGAAATGTGTGAGGAGAAGTAACATACTCTGTTACTAGGAGAAAAAAATAAATAAACCAACTATTTAACATTTGTCCTAGTTTGGTTTTTGTTGCTGTAATAAACACGATGAGCAAAAACAGCTTAGGGGTGGTTTTCTTGCCTTAAAGGTCACAGTCATTCATCAGGGGAAGCCAATGCAGGCACTCAAGGTAGAAACCTAAGCAGAGGCCAGAAAGGAAAATTGCTTACTGGCTTCCTCTACACAGCTTGCTCAGCCTGCTCTCCTATTCACCTAGACTATCTGCCTAGGGATGGTACCACCTACCGTGGGCTGGGCCCTCCTTCATCAATCACTAACAAAATAGCTCCACAGAATTGTCCACAGACAATCTGATGTGTGTGTATTGTTTTTGTTTCGTTTTTTTAATGAGGATCCTCTTCTGAAATAAGAATAGCTTGTATTAGGTTGACAAAATACTAACCAAGACAACATTAATCTGACAGTTTTATCATGTATTATTTTTTAAAATAACTAGTAAAAATGATCGACTTACAACTTCTTAAGAAACAACATTTAAGGACCGGGTAGGCAGCTCAGTTGGCAGTGTGCTTGTTCTGGGCTCAATCCCCAGTGCCATATATAAACCAAACATGGTGGTATACGCCTATAGTTGCAGTAATCATCGTGGGGGAGTGAGTGGAGATGAGAAGTTCAAAGTCATTGTTGCCTAGATAGCAAGTTAAAGGCCAGCTTGGGCCCCTTGAGACACTGTCTCAAATAGACAAGCAAACAAACATAAGCGTTCCTTCATTTCCTCATGTTCATATGATCAGTGCTGGACTTTAGGTACATGGATAGGCAAGTATCATGGTATTATTCCAAACAGGTTTCCACTGTCAGGAAATAAAGACAAATAATATCAAATTCCTCATGGCCTTGGGAAGCAATTTTCAAAACCAGGAAGGAGAAAAAAGACATTAATTCCAATAAAAGTGATGGATAAATCTGAGCCATTAAACTCACGATCAGCCATTTATAAACAGAAACCATGAAGGCATTTTCAAATTAGTGAGAATGGCACACTTTTAGTTGACAAGCGCGCATGACAAATACATGTTATTTCAAATGTCGACAGCAACAATATGGGAAATCCCATCAATCAACAAGAATGAAGAAGACGGGGAAGAGGAGGCAGAAGCTAAAAATATCTAACGGACACAAAGAGAAAATAGAAATGGCTCTAACCATGGAAAGGGGTTTGGCCTCACTAACAATCAAATCAGTAAAAATCAAATAAACACTATTGTTTCTCAAGGTTGTGTGAGGATTGAATGATTGTGTATTTAAAACACCTGGTATATGATAACCATAAGGCTGTAAATGTGGCTGGTGAAGTAGGAGTTAGCAAGCAGGAGGTCCTGAGTTCAACCACCTACCCAAAACAACAACAACAATAATAATAATGACCTAGTAACTGACTTTTTAAAAAAATCTATATCCCCAATGACCTTTCTGTGACCCTTTCTAGTGAACCATATATTCCAACATAAAATAATTCTCCAAAGTTTTGGCATCCATGAAGACCTGAACTTCCATACCTTACAATGCAATTTGGATTCTTCTTTAGAAACCTAACACACCAGCCCACATGCAATCTTACTGATAGGACCCCCAGCTGCCATCTCATCTTTCTGTTTTGCTTTTTGTGCTCTGTTTTTAATATCACTTTTAAATTAATTTTTCATTGTTGTATCCCAAGCACTTAAGCAAGTGCCCATGATATTTATTCTGAGGGACTGACATTCCTTCTGAGAATAAGTAGGGCAAAATACACACTGCCAAATGAGCCTCTGCAGGCATTGGGCTGCCACTCAAAAGCCCTTTGCATCTCTACAGATCCTCTGAGTATGATCCAGTCCATCTGTGGGTTATGAACAAATACATCAAGATTGTCATCACTGTTGGTTGCTATGGAGAAGGCTCTGAGTTGACACCCTGAGTCAGTGCCCTGCAAATTACACTTGTTCTTTGGAAGGCACCTTAACTTAGTCAATTTTTTTTTAAATGGCCAAAATGGTCTATGTATAATTGGAAGGAGTGATGCCCACACAAAGGATTAGTGACCCACAGACTACTCACATCTAAACGTACCACAGGAGAGGAGGTTGCAGAAGCACACGGAGCGGGCTCCACAGCTATTTCGGGATCTTCCTGCTCACTCTCACTGTAACATTCTATAACCGGAAGAAACATGCTTCAGGTTCCAAGGCTCTCATCAGTTATTTCATAATGTATGAGCAAAGGTTTTTCTCCATCTGCCTTTTGCAATTTCAAGCTAATGCAAAAGGCAAGCATCCAAAAAAAGTAGAAAGCAAGAAATGGCAGAGTGAGTCCTTCTACACAGGTCTCTCTTCCCCAGTTGATAATCAATGGGTGCCTACCTTACAGAAAGGAGGACCAACAAGGTGGTTAGGGGCCGACATCACAGCACTGTAATGAATTCCCTTATCTGCTTAAATTTGCCACTTTTCCATTTCTAAATTTAAGATTTTATAATCAGAGATACAACATTCTCCTTAAACTCTTTGAGCATCCTGTAATCTGAACACTGATGGCTGCCTGATGAAAAGAAATTCAAGGGTGGGAGAAATAAGTGGCCCCATGGCAGCTCCTGGTGCCAGAGAGCATTCAGTATGCAAAATAGGGCCTATTGTAGCTTAAAAACAAAACAAAACAAAAAGAATTCCTTAAAAATGTGGGGGTCAGCCAGGTATGACTGCGCACATCCTTAATACCAGCACTCAGGAAAGCAGAGGCAGGCAAATGGCTGTGAATTTGGGGCCAGCCTGGTCTACAGAATGAGTCCAGGACAGCCAAAGCTACACAGAGAAACCCTGTCTTGAAAAGAGAGAGAGAGAGAAAGAAAAAGAAAATGTGAGTCATTATGGCACAGTCAGTGGTGGAGCTGGGAAGCAGAATGAGCCATGGGAGCTGAGTCTGTGGCTGGTTCCCAACAGCAGGAGGAGAAGGGGGCTGAGCCGTAAAATAGAGATTCCCCAAGGGAGGTCCTGGAAGAAGAAGCTTTAGAGCCTTAGAGGTCACCAAAGGTCTTAAAAAACCAGAGTGAGTCCTTCTACACAGGTCTCTGTTCCCCAGTGGATAATCAATGGGTGCCTACCTTACAGAAAAGAAGACCAACAAGGTCGTTAGGGGCCGACATCACAGCACTGTAATGAATTCCCTTAGCTGCTTAAATTTTCACCTTTCCATTTCTAAGTGTAAGATTTTATCTTCAAAGATCCAACGTTCTCCTTATACTCCTTGAGTGTCCTGTAATCTGAGCACCCTGGCACCCACAGCCTCAATGTCCCCACACTAGTGGCTAACAACATTGTGAAGATGTAGGTTCCTGTGGCTTGTGAGGCCCAAAAGTGTTCCAAGAACAATTTTAAGGTAATTTATGTCAACACACACCTGGTGGAAAGGTTAAACTGTCAGAGGAAATGGTGGGACGAAAGTTATCTGACTACAGCATGACACATGTGGGTCCATGAGTAAGAACTCCGTAAGGGGTTCTTACTAAACATTTGCATTGGCAATTGTTTGAGTATCACTGAAGCCTGCAGCTGCTCAAGTGTGGGTGAAGTGTGAAATCACTTCGAGCTGGAATGGGAAACTAGGCTCCATGGTGAGTCTGTGTGAAGATGGCTGTCTGTACCTTTTAGATCATTTCAAATGCCAAGCCATGTTTCCTCAGGATGAGGCTATACATAGAACCTGGAATTGTCTCTTTCTTCAGGATAGATTTATTCTATCCTCACATTCTTGCTAAAGTTTCAGAAATGTGAATTAGAACATACCTTCATTCTTTGTAGTGGATTCTTGATGGATTACAGCAAATCCAAGTTTGTTTAACCACCTAAGATTCAAATGGAAAGTAAATGTTTGAACAAGCAGCTCGTCCCTTTCCCCTTTGACCCTGAACCTGCGTCTTATATCAGACTTTACAATGACATTCAATCCCAATGCCACACTTAGCCTGAGTATTTCCTGGGACATTGTGAGTTTGAAACACGGACACCTAAGATGCCTGGTTTCACATACGTGTCTTTACAAGGGTCTACATCATAAGAGAAGTGGGTAAGACGTTATCCAGTGGTAGAGGTAGAAAGCTAAATGAGATAGTCTAACTATGAACAAATCTGTCTTTGTTAGTAATTATGTATTTCAAACCATTGGCCATCATCAACCAAGTGATTAAATTTAATCACTTGACATCAAATTATATTTCTGACATTTAAAAAAATGTATTGTCATTATACCTTAGCATTACACGTGTGGAGGCCAGGAGACAACTTTTGGGAGTCAGTTCTCTCCTTGTAACTGCAGGTAGGTTCTAGGTGTTGAACTCAGGTCACCAGGCTTGCCTGGGAAGCTGCTTTACCCACAGAGCCTTTCCAGTCATCTACCATTTTAATAATGTCAATTGATTTTCAGGAAAAAAAATCTACAACATTCATTTCTAAGCCAGAAAAATTTCCCATCGCTCAGTAGATCTGACTAGATCATACTACTAAAACTTGACAAAGTGCTCTCTTCTATTGGTTTGATTTCTATTTATTAAATGCCATTTGTACAATGAGTCTAGACAAATCTTACACTCAAATCCAACTTTTAATTCTAAGTCACTGTCATGTCTCCTCAAGAACACATTATAAAAATAAAAATACTTAAGAAATAAGAAACAAAGCAAAAGCATGCTTATTTCATATCTTCCTATTTATATAACGTAAATAGGAAATGTCCTATTGAATGTCCTATTGAAAAGAAAATGTCCTTAGGGTTCAGTGGGTATCTAGGGGGACTCATTTCCCAAGTGTTTCAGGTTTTCTGTTTGTGTTTTCAAATAAGCTTTATTTCATATTCCTTTTCTGTTTTTTGAGAAACCAGCACTTTCAATAATGACTTAAGTTAATATCAACAAAATAACAGCAATGGTTCTACACATTTATTGATTCATTTATACTTTCCTCCCAGTCCTGTCATGCAACATAAGCTACTCAGCATCCTGTACTGGCACCTTGGCACAAATGTATACATTTCCAGATCTACACCCATCAACTTCTCAAAAATTCATACCTAATCTTCAACCAGACGTGATCTTGCTACACTCATTATTATTAACAATATACATATTACATATACATAACTACATATGTATAACAGATGTGTGTATTAGACAAAAATGGGAATCTCTACAAGAAGGAGAATGAGCAAAGTCGCCTTAAAGATGTTCCCTTTAGTCACACAATAGACTCAAGTTCTCTAACCGCCACATAAGACTGGACCAATGCTAAAGCTTTAGCAGGTCATGCTTTAGGAAGGTAGGAGTGTTTATCTAGTCCCTTAATGATGACAAGTAAGACAAAAAAAAGAAAAGAAAAGCAAAAACAAGGTCAGAATACACAATAGCTAATTGACAAGTCATTTAATTTTTACAAGATGTTTTTTGTATTACCTAACTAACATTTTAAAATATACAGTAGGAGAGTGGGAAGATGGTTCGGTGGGTAAAGAGCTTGCATGAGGACCTGATTTTGGGTTCCCAATACCCACATAAAGAGATTCAGTGGCACTCCTCTGTAACCCAGCACTGAGATAGGTGCCAGAGCCAGGCAGATCCATGAGGCTTGCTGGCAAGCCAGTTCAGCCAAAAGTAATGTGTTCGGTAAAAAATAATGTTTCAAAAAACAAGGTAGAGTCAACAGAGGAAGGCACCCAGGGTTGACCACCAGCCTCCACACTTACACACACACACAAATACATGGACATCTGCATGCATGTGTCCACACATATGAACATGTATGCTACATGTCCAAACATGTAGACAAACAAATATTTAAGCACATTTTCTAAATCAGATAAAGCACAATAAATTTTATGGCTTGCCTTAAAAAGACTAACAGTTTTTAGTTTGTACCTGATTTTATAATTATATAAGGTTGGCCCTTCCCTCCCCACAAAAATTAAAAGAATCTAAAAAGTAAAACATTTTTATAAGAATTTCAAAGGGAAAAAAAAAAGACAATGAAGAATTTTGAGTGGAGAGTAAGTGGAACAAGTGCAGGCTTTTCTAAGCTCTGTTCCACAACGAGCTGATGGGAGTCAGGGACTGGGAACGGAGTAGCCTTGACGTGTGGCTTGGAATGCCCAGAGCACAATGGATTCTGAGAGTCTCCTCAGAGTCTAACCTGCTGGTTGAAAAGGTATTTTCACTCACTAGGTAGCAAAACACTCAAAAGGACTGTTTCTCTGGGATGCTCTCTCTCTCTCTCTCTCTCTCTCTCTCTCTCTCTCTCTCTCCCCCTCTGCCCTTGTTGAGAAGATGACAACTATTTTGAAAGGATCAGCCCCGAGATGGGTAGGAACAATGATAACAGGGATAAAGCTGAAGATACAGGATGCCTGGGATGCTGTTAGAGAGGCTGTCAGGGAAGGGTGTCTCCACAGACGGGAGGTGGTCCTGTGAACCTCACCGGTGACTCAGCGGCAGACTAGCATTCACCATCTCCTGGTCCTAGCTACCTCTAGGTAAGAGCGCTACCCTCCTCTGGACGCTCGCAGAGTATGTCATCGCATATCTGCTGGATTGAGTCACCAGTGCTGGAGATGAGTAATGACCTTTGAAGGGCTTAACTTCTTACTTTTGACATATCTGATCTCTCTACTCTCTCTCTCTCTCTCTCTCTCTCTCTCTCTCTCTCTCTCTCTCTGTCTCTCGAAAAGCAAGGGGGAAGCTACAATCAGAAAGAGTGTAGGAACAGACACTCTCTGTCAAGGATGCTTTTGGAGGACACTGTTGTCAATTCCTTCTCTGATAGCTAACCACGGTTTCCCAGCTTCCTGTGAGCTATTCTGTCTTCATCTGAAGAAATGAGGTGAGGGTAAGCTAGGTGGCTATAACAAATGAGAAGTCACCCAGCTAGACAGTGCCGCAGAAGAGGTGACCTGGGGTGGCAGATGTGTAAGAGAAGATAGCAACTATTGTATTTCTAAAACAGGAAGGCGACGAGGGATTACATATGGAAGATAAGCGAGGGACGTATCATGTACAAGTAGTCAGTAGAATTTCAGTATAAACATTATGAATGGAAAGGAGGTGTTGACTGCTTTTACCCAGTGTTTTTGGCAATGGGGCACACTTTTGATATTCCATAAGCATTGAGTTATTATGCGATGGTCTTAAAGACACCAAGAACAGGCCTTTTACATTAGTGAGATGTCTTCGGGTGCCATGAGGCAGCATCTCACAGACAGCTTCCTTCAAAGTACAGCTGGTGGAGTGCATCTCCATCTAGGCCAGGAGTAAAGTGGGAATTGTGTTCATTGGCTTAACAGACGGAGCAGGAAGGAGAGCTCGGATATAAAGTTGGATATACAGGAAGTAAATGTTCAGGGTGATACTCGGAGAAGCAGGTTACGTAAGTCCATGGGCCTTTGTGATAACCACACACAGCACATGCTAGAGGCTGCAGAGACTGAGGCAGAATGTGAGAGGCCGTGGGCTGCTTCCAAGACTCCTTCAGGTCCTTCCCCTTGTGATGTGAATTTTCATCTTAAGGTCTCCTTCTATCTCCTCTGCACCCTCAGTGGCTCCTTCAGAAAAATAATCTTACAGCTACTTCCCAAAACAGCCATTTAGATAAGTGTACGTCCCCAAAGGACTACAAATGCTAGAGAAGAAAGCGATGTTGTTTTACAGTTGCTAAAGAAATTAACTAACAGGACAAAATTAAGTAAGAAGAATAAGTAGGACGCTGACTGACATGATCATTGGCATAAAACTCTAATGTCAGAACAAAGTGAGGTCGCTGTCTTAGGACTGGGTGTACCAGTTCCCTTTACTTACACGCTCATTTCCTGCAAGTTCTCTGCTGCAAAGTAGAAGGTTTTGATCTGTGGATGATTGATCTTAAATGCACTAGAAAGGAGAAAAGCACACATGTGTTAGTGTTTTTAAAGTGGTTGTTATATTAAATACCTATTATCTAGTCCTGATTTCAGCCAGTAACGTTAGAATCAATTTATCATGTAAGGGCTGCATCTTAGTCACTCAGTAATTTCCATTTAAATATATATAGGTGAATCTTTTTCACCTGCCAACTATTTAACTGTAAGAGACAATAAATTCAAGAGTCCCGACTCTTGTCACTTAACAGTATTCACGTCAACTCATTCAAGCAAGATATTATTATTCAAATGTACAGTGGAGTTTTATTTATAGGAAAATAGTCAGGTATGCATCTTCTACATCTCATAAGCCATAGATAAGGGTCTCTGTATTGGTAAAAGAAAAGTATAAATTAGATATTAATTAAAGGAAATCTACGACCCAACAGAGATAGCAAGTAAACTGTTTACACCATCATACCAGACGTTTTGCAGAATAGAACGGAGTTTTGGTTTTTGCTTTTGTTTTTGTTATTTTTTTTAAACAACCATTCAAAAACAACAAGCATCAACACCACCAATACAGAACAAGACACAGCTGTTAACACCAGTACAGCAAAAATAAAAGCTAACACTGGATCCCAAGAAAACAATTTCTTGCTGATCAATGAAGACATGTTCCTTTCTAAAAAGAGAGAAGATACTGAAGATAGAAGAAAGGATTGAGAAGGATGAAAGGACACATGAGAGTAGGCCCCAGTCAGGTGCTCTCTTGAAATGATCATGTATACCCAGCTCTCCAGGGTGCTCTTGGATGTTTCCAGACCCTGTAGGCTCTGACCTTGTTAGTAGAACAAGAACCGTGAGCTGGGGCCTCCTCCGTTCCCATCACTGCTCCCACTTAATCTAGAACGGGGTGCAAACCCGAGCTCTGTCATCACAGAACTGGACGACAAGGCTGATACTAAGAACACTCTGAACTAAGATGATCTGGTCTCGCTGTAGGGTCCCCATTTCTGTCTGGTGACACCCCTGCTTAGCTGTTTTGTTCTTCACAAGGTCAAAACCTTGACGTTGATTCCCTTGCCTTTGGGGTAGGGGAGTTAAAACCCGACCACCACACAGGTTGACAGGCCAGAAAACGAGAAGCTAAACATTTCTATGTACAGTTTCTATGAGCATGAATTTATACAGTGCCAACTCTCCGATCCTCAAAATTCCCAGACAACTGGCTTCTATGTGCACCACTCGCAAATTGCCCCATGAGTAGGTGACCTTGAAAACGATTGTGATCCTGGACCAGGGCTTCGTGGGCACAGAGAGAGCGCAACTCACTGTTTTTTCTTGCATTCGGAGGCTCTTTCCACGGTGAAATCTGGCAAGTTGACAAATCCATCCGCTTTCTCGGCCTGAAACAGACACACAGCACACATGGTAATAAATGTCAGATCTGAGCCTTGACATGGGGACAACAGGAAATAGAGAGTATATAGTGAAATGAAGTAGAATCCACAGGAATGTCTGTGAAGTAGCATTCATTAGCCATGGACTTAGAGACACCGTTTATGGAAAGAATTTATATTCTAAGAAATATAAACAAAATCTTTTCATGAGAAGTGACATTATGCAGCTGAGGAATGGTCAATATACAGCAGATCCTGTGCCTGCCCTGCCCCCTTCTGCCCTCATGAAACCACAAAGTTAACCCACCTACGTCCTGCTTCCTGCTGAACCTGGAGACATGCTCAGCTTCATTCTCCCCCTCACAAGTGTGGTGAGCCACGAGCACAGGACACCAAACCTCGTTAGCATCCTTGAAGCGGTGGACAGAGCCCAGGCCTTGAAGCTGGCAAACCACAGATACACATCTTGCTGCTGTTAGGGCTTCAGGGAGCCCAGATAAACAACGTGCTTAACAGACACTCAACAGAGATCGCTTTCTCCCACAAGCTTGTTGTAGGCAGAGTTTGGAGTCAGAGCCATATCTTGTAAAAACTCTAGTGCCATGGCTGATTCTTGTAGAAGAAAGTCCTCAGGAGAGAATGCCACTGTGGATGGCATAGGAGGCATGGTGCTTTAAATCAGTGTTTCTCGCCTTCCTAATGCTGCGACCCTTTAATACAGTTCCTCATAGTGTGGTGACCCCAACCATAAAATTATTTTCATTGCTCCTTCCTAACGGTAATTGTGCTACTGTTATGAGTCTGTGTTAGGTAATATTGTAAATATCTGTGCTTTCTGATGGTCTTGGGAAACCCTGTGAAAGAGTCATTCAACCCCACAGGGGTCACACCCCACGGGTTGAGAACCTCTGCTTTAAATCAACAAATTCTTCACCAGGAAATGTAATGAAGGCTCCACTTCTCTACAGTCACTGGATTTATAGGTCTATTAATCTCTAATGTATGAATAAAGTTGAGATGATCCACAGAGAATCTGGGTCATTTGTCAAAAATGTAGCTCAAATCGCATTTCATGCACACTAAAGTCCCTGAGCAGAGAAAAACAATATTAAAAAATGTAAGTGAAATGTCAGATATTAGGAGATGGCTACAAATTTTTATTTATTTATTTATTTATTTATTTATTTATTTATTTATTTATTTATTTATTTATTTATTTATTTATTACAATCTTAATTTTAAAATCAGTTAGCTGTTAAATTTTTCCAGGGTGATATTAGCTGACTTTGTTATTCTGTTTCTGTTTCATATCATTGAGAACAACTTTTCTTCAGAAAAATTAAACTGTGAAATTGTCAAGTCCACTCAGCCTCTACCTTTTGCATGACTACGGTTTATCCAAGAGCATCTGCATGCTCTTCCTTATGAAAAATAAAAGTCCATCCTAGTGAGAACCTCTCTCTTTAAAATATGTATACACAGGTGCTCACACTGAGTGCATGTGTAGATGCCTTGTTTATTAATAGGTTGTTTGATTACCACATGGTGGCTTCACCAACCTCATTTTAGAAAAACATAAAGTATTCAATGAATGTACAATATTTAAGTTGATATTTTAAATAATATACAATGTTTCATCTGATTTTCAGTTACAATTATATGAATAAATGTAATTTTGGAAAACCTAGGACCCATAATTCCATTGCTAGAAACAGTCAAAACCACAAAATATAGGTGTTCAGATGTATATGCACAGTCACAGAAACACTATTTACCATAGGAAAAACTCAAATGAACAAAATGGCCATCAATAAACAAACTGTGATAAATCCATAAAGAGAAATATTATATATTGCCACATATCCCATGAAAGACTGGCATATGCTGTGTGGATAAATCTTGAAAACATTATGTTAAGTAAAAGATTTTAGTTACAAAGGTCACATATTATTTGATCCCATTTATATAAAGTATTCAGAATAAGAATTACATAAAGAAAAAACAAAGATATATACCCAGACTCTGAGGAATGAAGAAATGGGCATAAAGCTTTGTCTTGAAAATGTTTTGGAAGTAGACAGAGGTAGTTGTATAGTATTGTGAATGTACTAAATTTCCACTCAAGTACTGACTTCAAAATGGTTGATCTTATGTTAAATGGCCATATTGATAAAACATCAATGTTTTCACAGAAATTCCCATAACTGGCCTTGAGAAGAGCAATCACTGATGTTAAGCATTTGTTGCCACTTCCACCTGACATACAATTCTATGCAAGTTGTTCTAGACCCAATGAAGCCTCAACACTTCCATCACTAAGTCTGAGTTGAATTCTAGTGACCGTCACCCCAATCCCGCCCTCCCCTGTGCCTGCTAGCATAGCTTTCCTGACACACAGCATTGCTGCTCACCTTCCCTCTAATCACCCCTTATTCTGAAGCTTTCACGAGGTCTTCTGCTTTTTCTCAAATAGGGTTCCTTGAAGTTCGGTCCGTAAAGCTATACCCTCTCCATTTCAGCACTCTGGATGGGTGACTTGTGATCCCCCCCCCTTGAATTCATGCATCGTCGCCACACACATACATCCAAAATCTACAACCTGAATTGAGATCTCCTTGCCTATATTTATAATGGCCTAGTGTATTTGTTTGCATGGATAAATGACAAGCTCCAGAGGGATGGCCCAATCCAAGCTCATCATCTCACTCCACAGCATACCTGCTCCTTTCTGTGTTCTCTGCTTCAGCGAACAGTATGACGCTGTCCACCAAGACATCATAAGAGATAAGAGAGAAGAAGAAAGAAAGAGAGAAGAGTAGAGAAAACAGACGTTTCTAGCTCTCCTATGCCAGCTATTCCTGTTTGGATACTGTCTGTCCCCATCAAAATTCATGTTGAGGCTTAGTCTCTGATGAGAAAGACTGAAGTTTTAAAAGTTAAGTGAATTGTTCTGCTAAATGGAAAGTATGGAACCACTACCTAAATCAATACCTCTGTAGTGGCCTGGAGAGACTCATATGTTTGAATACTGGCTTCCCAGATGGTAGAACTGTTTGGGAAGGCTTAGGAGGTATGGCCTTATTAAAACAGGGCGTGTCACTGGAGGTACCTTTTGAAGTTTCAAAAAGACTCCATTCCCAGTGTGCATGCTTTCTCCCTTCCTCTGCTTCCTGCTTGTAACTCAAGATGGGGGCTCTCAGCTGTTCTTGCCACTATGCTCCACCATCATGGATTGGGAGCCTCTGAAATTGTAAGCCAAATCAAACACTTTCTTTTATAAGTTGCTTTTTGTTATAGTGTTTTATCACAGTAATAGAAACCCTAACTAAGATAATCTTTACTCCCATAAATTAACACAGCTCTCAGACCTTATCAAAGAAGTTTCTTTAATGTAGTAGAATAAGTGCTATAAATGGGACAAAAGCAGAGTGAGAGAAAGATCACTCAGGAGCCATCATAAAAGATGGGCAGAAGGACTATAAGGGTCAGAGGTCAAGGAGGACTACAGCAAAAGTGCCTTCTAGATATGACAGAGATACTTCAATCTGAGAGCTGTGGTTGTCTACACAATACCAAGCCAGTCAACATTCTAACATGGAGAAGACAGGTCCATATGAGGTCCCACCCCTCACTGGGAAGCTTTTGATAACTAATGGATTTCTGGGAGGGAGAGTCAGTCTTCGCTAAGGGTGTGGCCCTAGAAGGTTAACCACCTTCTAGTGAATAGTCTCACATGCTGAGTATATGTACCACAAAAATTGGGTTATTAAAAATAAGTAAAAGAGAACAGGAAGTTTGTTGTATGTGGAGAGATAGGGGGTGTGTCTTAGAAGAGATAGGGAAAGAGTAGGGCTGAATATCACCAAAATACATTGAATGATATTCTCAAAAAATTAATAACAAGGTATTATTTTTAAAAAAGAAGAAAAGCTGAGTAAGTCATGGCTATGCAGATGGCTTAAGAGATCAGAACATTTGCTGTGAAAATATGACAACCTAATTTCAAACCCCAAACACTCAGCAAAAACACTGGGTATCATGTCACGCATGCCTGCAACACTGGTGCTCTGAAGAGCTAGAGCAATCAGCCAGCTCTAAGCTCTGTGAGAGACCCTGGCTCAAGAGAGTAAGGTGGAAAGTGATGGGGTCGGACAACTGAGATGCTCCCTTTGGTCTCCATGCGCACATTTGGGAACACACATGCCACAAACACGCGATGAGCAAATAAACTAATAGGCTAAATAATTCATTTGAGAACTAAGGTTTTTCTCATAAGAGTGAACTCTAATTTTCCGGAGACTGGTTTGCCTGCTGAGAGAATGGGTAGTTATAAAAGAAGGTCCCCACATGCTGGGATCCTTTTGCATACAACCATTATGCCTTCTGCTTCTCCATCATACAAGCTGTGTGTGGTCCTTGCAGGTCCCAGCACCAGCCTTCAGGATTATGAACTAAATAAGCATTCCTTTTCTTTCTGAGCTACCCATCCTCCAGTATTTTATAATAGAAGATGACCTGACACAGTCCCTCTCAGAATTCATGCTGGTAAGTACAAAGTGTGCTATGGTTGTGTCTTCTACAGATGGTTTGTTCCTCTATCCCTACCATATCATGTCCTCTCCATCACCATTAGCTTTCTGTTAAGTTACAACAAGAGCCTCTGAAGCCAGTCCCCCTCTTTCTAATTTTCTCCTTCAACCCAATATAGCTCCAAATAACAGCCACAGCAAATCTCTGCATCACAAACATGCTTCATGTCACTTCTCTAATTAAAACCCTGCATGGTTCCCAGTTGCTCTTTGAAAAAGCCTAACTGGCTCAGCAGAAAACCCTTTATGACCGAGGTCTAATTAATTCTACAGTTTCATTTTCTCCAAGGTCCCTGTCCTCTACTCAACCAAAAAAACAAAAAAACAAAAAAAAAAAAAAAAAAACTGAAAAAAAATTGAAACAAAGAAAACTGTGTTCTTATGGATCTAAATTAGAACTAGCACCCAATTTATGTC